AAAAAAAAAAAAAAAATTGCTTCAGTTTGAGAACAGCTGACATTTTCTCCTACGGCTCAAAGTAACACATTTATGAAAAGCAAATGTGTTTTTAAATAAAGTTACTAGTTATTAATTGATTATGTATTAGTAAAACAATGAAGAATTTAAAAAACATAGTAAAGTGCCCATCTTTGAAAGGAGAACTAAAGCCTTTAAAGAATATTCTGTATATGATACTAAACATATAACATTTTAGTAATTTGTGAAAATCTGTGAAGCAACATGAACTATAAAGCATTCCTCCTCCCCTTCTCTCTCCCTCATCCCTGCCTCATCCTCAACAATTAAACATTTAAAGCTTATGGTAATTGTAGGGGCCGGCCTGGTGGCATAGCGGTTAAGTTTGCGCGCTCTGCCTTGGCTGCCTGGGGTTCGCAGGTTCAGATCCTGGGCGTGGACCAGCGCACCGCTTGTCAAGCCATACTGTGGCAGTGTCCCATATAAAAGTAGAGGAAGATGAGCATGGATGTTAGCCCAGGGCCAATCTTCCTCAGCAAAAAACGAGGAGGTTTGGCAAGGTCAGGGCTAATCTTCCTCACACACACACAAAAAAAATCGCTTATGGTAATTGTAAATGTTAACTTTTTTGTTAAATTGTGCATTTGTGTCCTAGTTTATGGCAAGATTCAGAACCATTTTGCTTTTTCTCTTAAAACTTACAAGTATTATGAAAGGTTTATACAATGTAGAGAAAACCTTTAAAGAGGTCTTGCCATTGAGACCTTTTCTAGTTGATCAAATGGTTTCGAAGCCTTTAGGGGTCAGGGTAGGCTGAGGCAAAATTGCTCTTAAAAATTCACATTTTAGCTTGGAGGGAAGTTTCTGTTTGGCACATTCTTACCAGCATTCTTTTCTCATGTATAATGTAAAATGAAGATATATATTTGCAAATCATATATCTGATTACAGTCTAGTATTCTCAGGGCATATAAAGAATTCTTACAACTCAACAAAAAGTCAAATAATTCAATTTTAAATGGACAAAAGATTTGAATAGATATTTCTCCAAAGAAGATATGCAAATGGCCAGTACACACATGAACACATTAACATTATTGGTCCATTTTTATAATGGATTGTTTTGTCTTTTTGTAAGTTTTAAGTATTCTTTATATATTCTGGATACTAGACTCATCAAATAATATGATTTGCAAATATTTTCTCTTGTTCCATCTGTTGTCTTTTCATTTTCCTATATCCTTTGAAGGACAAGCAAGTTTAATTTTTATGAAGTCCAGTTTATCTGTTTTTTCTTTGTTTGCTTGTGCTTTTGTTCTCATAGCCAAGAAAACATTGCCTAATCCAAGGTCATGAAGATTTACACCTGTTTTCTTCTAAGACTTTTATAGTTTTAGCTCTTAGATTTGGTTCTT